ACTGTTAAATATGTATTGCAAAACTCCCGCCTATTCTCCAAAGTTGTAGAAGATTCTCCAGAGTAAGAATCAACAATATATATATATATATATATATATATTGTTGATTCTTACTCTCGATAATCTTCTACAATTTTGAAGAATATATATGTGTGTATTGTTACCTAATTATCTAGAAAACCTCCACACACACTTATAAATATAACTAACGCGACACGCCAAAAGAGTATCTATTATTAGTTTGCTGTAGTCAGTGTGCTACAAAATTTGGAAGCTATAACTGTGATTGTTATAACACTTACCAATCGGAAAACTTCAGATATTTTACCAGAAACATTTATAAAGTTCGAACATTACAAATTATTTAACGTCAGTGGATTCTCATCGGACATTAGTATTTTTACCAAAAATTATATACATTCATCATGGAAGACTCAACGCGCGTGACTGGTGAATAACGAAGGACAAAGCTAGATAGCTTCCCGTTAAGCGAATTGTACCTACGTCAACTCGTAGTGAACTCGTCTCATCGTGAACCCTCGATAAGATATCGAAGAAATTCCAGACTAGAAAGAAGATTTTATATTGCTTGTAAGTTTGTGAAACTTTTATTTATAAATCATTGTTTGTAATAACTATTTGTAATAACTGTTATTGTAAATTGTATTGTTGCGTGTATATTAAAACGTATTTGTGTTAAGAAAGTAAACTGTGTGTATCAATCTTGTTGGTAAATATCATGAAGTGACTATTTATCGACTTTTACTTAACTATGAAATTCAAAGTACAATTTAAATACTAAATTTAAATTATCAGTTAACTCGGTTTCAGACCATTTGAAATTTTAATATGTAACAGTGTATGAATATTTTGTGTCGGAAAGGGCTATTACATACCTTCCCCGAATTTATCAGTTTTTGGTGGTATCACACTACCTTCGCAACGCCAACCATTTTTACATTGTAGTTCTGATACATTCTTTTCCACTGCGACTTTACATTGGTTGTGGTTGTCACATGACTTTCTGACTTGCATATTCAAAATCGTTTTAATATACTATATTCAACCCTGTATATATATATAATACAGAATGTCTCATTGAGTCACAGTAAAGCTTTTGCAGTTCATAAGTAAATGATGTACATTTAAAAACGATTTTTTGTCAGTAACTTTATTAAGAAAACCTAATAAGTAAAATGAAGAAGCATGGATATTAATTGCATTACTGCAAATGATAAAAAGTTATACAAAAAATAACAGAGTAACAAAGAGTGTACAAAAACAAGATATGTAATTTTAAAAAGCGATTAAATCACTGGATTGTGGAAAGCGTTCCGTGTTAAAGGTAATTTATGATAAAACTAACTGTCGGTGTTTGAAGAAGTCTTCACATAGTAGGTTTCTCAACTAGTTAACGTCAGAGTTTCGAAATGAACTGACTGTTATCTTGAATTGGAAACTGTATTCTAGATGTGAGCCAATACTTAGGATCTGAGAAGTCCTCCAGACCAGTTGTTATCCAACCGTTATCCGGCATATTACTCTCCACGAAATCCACGTTTCCTTTTGCATCCACCAAAACAATAGAGTGCGTTCTGCACAGGATAAAATATGTGAATATTTTTGAATTATTATTATTAAAAAACTTGAATTGTCATATAAAGCGTAGATTTGCTTTTTAAAATGTCATAGTAAATTATAATAATGAAAACTGAAAAACAGTTTTTGGTCAAGTAACATATGTTATCTAGGTTAGGTCCCAAAACTCAACAATAATACAATTAGCAATTAGCAGCAACGACAACAGGTTGCAGGATAGTTTCTCAATGAGTGAGGTTAGAGTTGTTTGTTTCTATAAACTTTCTATGGGTAAAACCAGTGAAACTTACCTAGAACCGAAAAGGCTATCAGGTATTTTTACAAAGATGGAGCTCAACTTGTTAATCGCATCTGGAAATACACCAGCTGCATCATTTTCAAGCTGGGAATCAGGGTAGTGACTAGTGGCGGTAAAAAAAAAGAGAAATAATAATCATTTCCAGTTGATGATGCTCATCAAACATCATTATCGGTCCCACTATTTATCCAAACATCATTATCAATCCTACTATTTATCCAAACATCATTATCAGTCTCACTATTTATCCAAACATCATTATCAATCCTACTATTTATCCAAACATCATTATCAGTCTCACTATTATCCAAACATAATTATCATCTCACTATTTATCCAAACATCATTATCGGTCCCACTGTTTATCCAAACATCATTATCAATCCTACTATTTATCCAAACATCATTATCAGTCTCACTATTTATCAAAACATCATTACCAGTTTTACTGTTTCTAGAATAAAAACGTTGTCATCGCTTCTGTTTGCACACCAACACCAACAGTTTGAATGATTATCTTATGTTGTACAAAGCGTAAGCTCATGAAACGGGAATGTTTTATTGTGCGCAACATGTAATTTGGTAAACCATGGCCATCGTATGGTGCATAACGCCTAAACTGGCGAAATATGGATGTATTATAGGACCTACATTGATGAAATATAATCGTTTTATGGTGTATAAAGTTAAAACTGATGAAGTATGATCATCTTATGGTATTTAACGTATAAGTTAGTGAAGATTTATTTATTTTAGCGATGATGATACACCATACATTAAAATCAACCTTTATTTACAAGCCTTCCATGTTGAATGGCATTGTGAAGTTAGAAACACCTGAGCGTGATATCTATTTCACAGTTCAGTCCTTTATCATAATTGGCATTGGTTGTAGAGAAAGGACTATAAAATGTTTGTTTGAAGTTAAGCACAAAGCAACACAATGGGCTATCTGTGCTCTTCTCACCACGGGTATCGAATCGCGGTTTCTAGCGTTGTAAGATATACCGCTGTGCCACTGGGGGGCCTATAAAATGCAAAAAAAAAGAGCATAAAAGCTATTAAATATAAAGAAAAGTGTGAGTAAAGCTTAACCACTGAAACTGGTAGAAATAACTTACTTCCTGAAGTTGTCAATAATAAGTTAAAGTTACACTATTGGGTGCAAACTCTTTTTCTGTATATGTTAAAGAACCTCCTTTTTTATTCTCCTTGTATAAACTATATTTTTTGTTAGATCTTCATAAATAATTATATACACACACCATTAAGCTGTATATACAACAGAGCTAGTTCATTTCTTTTACTACGCTTAGTTACTTAGTGGCCTTTTCTATACGCGCCTTTCTTTTCGCTTTTCAATGGAGGAGAATGGGCTCCTTTTGATTATATATGATTGGGGAACATAACCTTCATTTATTCCATTCACATTTCGTGTAGCCCCACCTCCCCCAGTAGCACAGCGCTAAAGACCAGGTTTCGATACCTCTGGTGGGCACAGCACAGATAGTCCATTGTGTAGCTTTGTGCTTAACATAAAACAAACACATTTTTCATATATTGTATACCATTTCTCTGATAGCTTTATTCTGAAATATTTAGGTTTGCACCTGGTGGCGTTATTTTTTCTTTGATTTTATTACTAGGAAACTACATTCCCATAATTGGCTGCAGATACTGAACGTGTGGTTAGGTTCAGGACATTATGGGTTCAAGTACCTGAACCTAGCCCTCTAATAATTTCAAATTTTCATCAGTTAGTGCACAACGGATTCTTACCCGTGTTGGTGGATAATTGAATATACAATCTTCAACGGCCTGGTGGTTAGGGCGCTCGACTCACAATCTGCGGGTCGTGGGTTCGAATCCCCATTATATCGAACACGCTCGCCCTTTCAGCCATGGGGCGTTATAGTGTGATGATCAACCCCACATTTCTTTGGTAAAAGAGTAGCCCAAGATTTGGCGGCGTGTGGTGTTGACTAGTTGCCTTGCCTCTAGCCTATCACTGCTAAATCAGGGACATCTAACGCAGATAGCCCTTGTGTAGCTCTGCGCGAATTTCAAACCAAACAATCTTCAACGTTTCTTAAATGCCTGTATGTAGCTATACATCTCTTATGATTTAATACATACTTTCACATTTACTTCTATTTCTGAATGTTTTGTTTTTGCGTGTATTTGAATTATATTTTAAGTTTAGACATTTTCTCTTAATGTTTTAAGGTTGTTGACAATTTTCTCTCGCTTTTACATGTTAAGTTTTTATTTCGTATGTTTATTACTCCCAGAGCTCATTGACACACACACACACACACACTTACAGGGCCGCGTAGTGATGAGACACTTATAGCGCCACGTAGTGGTGGTATGTATGGAACTCCTAATTTGTCCTAGTATTTTGTTTCGATACTTAACAAATTGTAGACATAACAACTTTTAAACTAAAAACATTCATAACATGAAGCAATTATATAAACCATAAAAATGTATTTGGCTTAAAACAAAACTGAGACATGCTTGTAAAAAATTTCCTTTCGTGATTTTGTAGCTCGGAAAGCTATACGATAACCTTGACACATAAGACTATCATGCAGATGTATGGAAGGAAATACTTTATACTTCGTTAAACACTTAAAACATTTCCATAGTTTATAGTTTACATATACAATGTCCAGTGGCGTAAGTACAAAAAATCCCCCTCCCGCATAAAAAGTATTTGGGCCCCTATAATTGTATTTACTATTCTAGCTGATTGATATCATCAACTTCACAGAATAGTACAACCGCCTTTTAATTCAAACAAATTAAATTACATGTCTCTCCCCTTGTTGGCAATTCTTAAGATTATCAGGTCTTTCGGGCATCCTTTTGACTCCCCCCCTCCCTGCAATTGCGGGGGCATACTTACGCCACTGATGTGACATTCAGAAATTGATTACTGATTAGCATATTGGAATAGTATATTAACGATTTTTTTTTCAAATAACATGTACAACTGATCAACTTTTCCTACTTTTGAATTACGATTATCTAACCAAAGCTACAGCAATGAATGCTGTCAGCAGGTGACACGGTGATGTAAACCTATTTCTGAATTTTACACAAACTTACAGTGTTTCATCCTGTAGCATTGCAAACAGTTCTTTCAGTAAGCTATCTTTCGTCTTATTACGTGATATCACGTGATGAAATACTTTCTCCCCATATTCAGTTTTCTTCCATTTCTTGTCTGGTCTGTTGTTTCCGAAAACATGTATGCCTTGAAAAAATAAATAGCCAAAAGAGAAGGTATGAGTAACAGACTAAGATCGCAAATAACACAGAAAAAACAACAACTTAAAATAAACAATAAATTGTTAAAACTAACACTCAAAGACATTAAAGTTAAAATGAATATGGCAAATATATTCATTCAGAAATACTGTTGTACCAAATGGCATCTAAGCCATCTGATAAAAATATAATAATAACGCATTAACCAGAGTCCCTAAATCGCTAAGGCTAGCGTCCACTAAGCCCAAACAGCGTAACAGGTGGAAATATTCCCAAACATGTTGATTTCTGCATTTAATAAAAAAAAATATTAATTTTCGATTACAATAAGCTTTCCCCATTTTAAATCCTTAACAGTACTTGCTTCTTCCCTATATTTGTTACACATCCCAACTTTTCTCACGCGCTTTACTTCCCCAGCAGTTCACTACATGTACGAGAATTGTTCCTCAAGAGGCAGCATGATAATTCAATTCTAATATTGTAAAATATGCCTTATCAACAGATACAGGGAATATAGCTTTCACACTAGTCTTTCTGTTGTTGTATACTCAAACAACGTACAAGCTACTCTGGTGTTCCATGCTCGTGAGGAGTGTAAACACATGCAGGTAAGGTTGCCCTTACAACATGATATTTTTTTTCTAATTCTGAGAACTGTTCTGGTAAGAAACGAAATCGAAAATTTTTGAAGTTAAATCATTTTTAATTTATACTATATACTAAAATTATCTACTTTGTATCATATTAAATGCTTTACTGTGCAGTTAATTCTGTGTATCACCACTTTCTCTATTGAATCACTTGTTTGCATTCATAAGTTTTAATGGTGTAGTTTATTATTAACAAACAAATGTGTATGTGTGCTTATTTTGTAAGCTCCAATAAAAATAATCAATTTGGTACGGAATAACACTTGATGTGTTTTTTTTTTCATGTGTTTATTGCAAATAATTTCAAATGCTTGGAAATAACACTCTACTTGTATTATGTTCAATTCTCATATGATACTACAGAGATTCATAATACGACTCAACGATTTTTTTAAACACTTGATATAAAATAAGTCCATTTATTTGAACTAATACACACCAAAAGTACACTAAAAATCGGGTTTTGATTCCCACCGGGGGCACAGCAAAGATGGCCCATTCTGTAACTATACGCTTAACAACAAACACACACACACACACACACACACACACACACACTAAAGTGTGAATAGCACATAAATATTAGATTATTTTACCTGCCGATGTGGCCTCATGCCATAAAGAAGAACAAAGTTTCTCATTGTAAGCTCTAAATTCTAAAACCCGCTATATGAAGTGTGTAGTTCAATAGACGGCTTAGCAAGCGTGATCAAACCAGTCGCAAAATGCGGTATAAATTTCATTAGGCTTGTAGATATAAACCTTAGCGATGTACGGTCTTTGGCAGGCCCGCCGACAGGGGAGGGCAAAGGGGGCAACAGCCCAGGAGCCCGAGCGAATGTTATGCCGTAAAGCCCGCAAAGCATCTTTAGGCTATATCTTCATTTAATGATAAAAACCATAGTTTTTGGCTTTT